GGAAGCAAGCTTTTCCCATGAAGAGAACCCCTGACATTGTCCATGTCTCCCTCCTTGCATGTCCATGGAACATGCCAGCTCCAGCTGGTCCTCTGACCTTCTTGGAAATCATTTTCCTGAAGTTGCTATGTTGGTCTCTATCTTTCCATTACCCCCTTGTTCACAGTCACTTGTCCTGACTTACGTATCCATCCTTCTAGCGTGAACCTCCTCCATCACTGATGATCACAGAGACAGCAGACAGGCATGTCTTAAGGAAGCCTGAGAACTTGGCTTCAGAGCATGCCTTCCCATACAATCCAAACTGTTTCTTAGAACAAGGGAAATGATACTCCTTGTTGGGCCACCATACCTCATTTGTGCCCATTTCTTCGCCTATAGTTTGCTTGGCCCAGGTCTGAAATCCAACTTCAGAATGCCCAGTCAATGTCAGGAATCTACCCAAATTTCCTCTTGATCAGGACCAGTTTCTGTACCAGCAGCCCCTGCTCCTCTCACATGAGTCCAAGATTACCAGTGCAAACAGTGGGGAAAGCACTGGAAAGGCCAAAGGATGTTCCCCACAAAACCAGGGAGGGAGGATGGGAGAGTGATGGATTGTGGGTTAGAACTGGGAACCATGAGAAATGAGCTTTTGGCACAGGAGAGAGAGAGAGAGAGGAGCCTAGATGGAGGCAGCCAAGAAAGAACTTCTGTCTGACAGTCTAGATTGGAGGTAGGTAAAGTAAAGGACATGGCTCTACCCATCAAACAAAGAATGAGCAAAGCTGGTCCAGAGGAAGGATGCTGAGGTTGGTCTGGCTCCCATCTGAACTGAAGCTGAGGTTGGCCTGAAAAACTTGCCTGGCCTGGCGGGCAAAGTGAATCAGAGCCTAGGGGACTTGGTGGTACTCTCCTCCAGCTTTGAGACTCTTGGGCTCCCTGTCATTGCATGTTCCCGACTCACCTGTCCTCTGCTCAAGGAACCAGCAGGCCTGGAGTTTCATGGCCTTGAGCAATCGCCGGGCAGCAGGGTTTCTGTGGGTGCTAATTGCCTGTTTGGCCTGGCGCGGTTGCCCGCTTGGCTTCCCAGCAGGCTGCTCCCCAGCTCGGGGAACCAGACCAGCAGCATCGCTGCCTCTGGGTCACGTCTGTCAATCCTCCGGCCCAAAGCCCATACTTCTTGCAGGTCAGGCCTTTCAGAGCCAGTACCATGTGTCCCAGGTGCCACCTGGACCCTTTCCTGCCAGAGCTTGGGAATAGGAGATCTGCCTGCTGAGTGACAGTGGAGAAGAAGTCTGGGTGCCCACATCAGGGCGTTCTCCCCATCATAAAACCAGTCAGAAATGCAAGGACTGGAGTGTTGGCCATGCCATTAACTAATTGGATGTCCTTGCTCCAATACCTTGACTTCTCTGTATTTCAGTTAACTCAACTAAACTTGTGCTTGTATTAATATCTGGCCCCTTTCTATATAGTTAACCTGAGGATTAATGAGTTGACAGATATAAAAGTTCTTTGAAAAACATCAAGTACAATGGTAAGTATATTATTTTTGAGCCCAATGGCCCAATACTGATGCCCTTAGTGAAACCATGCCTTAATGGAATAAAAACGTCTCTGGCCAGCCAGCCAGCTATGTTGTTTTTCACTCACTCTCATAAGGTTTGAATGAGCAACTATATGACCCAGGTGTTGGGTTAGGAGCTAGCAATATGGAGAATCTCGCCAAAAATCGTATCTCACCAACATACAACCAAAATGTCCCTAATAACTACCAAGATGGTTTGGTTAATTTGCAGAGCTCCTACCCCTCAAACTCTTCTCTCTTCTGTAGCCTCCTGCTCACTAGGATGCAGCTCTAGAAAATGGGACCTTGAGGTGGCTGGTTGTTAGACAGTGACATACTGAAAGTTGGCTCCTCCCTAGAGTAGCTCTAGCTCTGATGCCTCCAGGTTGTTGCCCTCAGACACACTACTAGGCTCTGAGTCTGGGACAGGATTGTGTGAGGCATCTGGGTGGAGGAAGGACAGGTCCCATCATGCCCAAGGCTGAATGTGGGAGCTGGCAGAAAGGACAGGGATGGTACATTGGCACATGCATGTCACTACAGACAACAGTGTGGCTGTGTTGCTTGTGATCACTTGATGCTGCCAGAACCCACCCTCAGCCCCTCTCAGCACACTCTCTTAACCTGTTGCTGGCTAGTGTTCACAACCATTACCTGCAAAGCCTGGCGTTCTGGATAGCAGGCTACTTTTATCTTGCTACTCTGTCCTCAATCTACCTTATGTATTTACTGTTCCTGACTAGATGACTGAGCCATGTTGTCCTTTCTAAAAAGCCAACATCTCTTTTCAAGCCAACAGTTGTTTGACTTGACTTAAATTTTGTTTGATATACAAACATAAACACACACCCACACACAGAGTCAGTCTTCTTTATCTGTGGATTCCATATTTGCAAATTTACCTACTTGCTAAAATTTACCAAAATCAATACCTGAAGCACTTACGTGGTTATTTATGGATATGTGCAGTGGTGAAAACTTTGAGGCACCTGATGCGTATGTCTCCAGCTGAGGCTGAACACGGGGACAGTTCTGCCTTCCATTTTAGCTCTTATATTATAAACAAGCGTCCTTTCCAAGATCTATGTAGTGCTATACTTTTTACATCCTTGTGATTTTACTGGTGATGTTAGTGTTCAAAAGTGTTCCCAAGCATGGTGCTGAAGTACTCTCTAGTGTTCTTAAGTGCAGAAAGAACTACAATGTGCCTTACAGGGGAACTATGTGTGTTAGACAAGCTTCATTCAGACACGTGCTATAGTGCTGGTGGTTGTTAGTGCAACTATAAATATATATATGTGATATATATATTTAACTGCTAGAGTGAGCATGCACTTGCCAGAGAGATAGAGAAAGCACTCCCCAGTGTAACAAGGTCATGCTGAAATCTTTTATCCTCCATTTCTTCATCCTGCAGAATTTGGGGCATGCATGCACACATGCCCAGTGAATTTTTCAAGCTGCTGGCGCTGAGACTAGAACCGTGGTTGGCCATGTGGCATCCAACTCATGTGCTGCACTCGAGCACTGCACCACTAAGCTGGCCCCAACAATAGATATTAAACAAGATGTCTTTAAACAGAAAACACACATAAAACAAGGGAGTGTATCAATCAGTTGATAAAAGCATTTGTGACTAGAGGCTTACAAGAACTTAACCCTGTATCTCCTCCAGAACAGTGGTTCAATATCACTAATCTGGTATTCACAGGGACTTTCTAGGATATTGCTGCTGCAAAGAATAAGAATCGACTATATACACTTCACTTCTCTTTTTCTTCCCCCATTCCCGCTTCTCCTCCTTTGCTTCATTCAAATTTTATTTAGCGTATTTCCAATTTAATCTAGTTCAATTTATTGCCTCCTATTGTCACTTCTAACTGTTGGTTTGTGAAATTCTGATACTGGGAAGGACTACGTCAGTGGTGGGCACCTTCTTTGTGCAGCTGCTGCAGTCTTGGGAATACAGAGATGAGTGCAGTTAAGTCCCTACTCAAAGGAGTGCACTCAAACCTTTCTTCTTTCTTCTTTCTTTCTTTTTCTTCCTTCCTTCTTTCCTTCCTTCCTTCCTCCCTCCCTCTTTCTTTCTTTCTTTCTTTCTTTCTTTCTTTCTTTCTTTCTTTCTTTCTTTCTTTCTTTCTTTCTTTCTTTCTTTCAAAAGAGATGTTTACCATAGGGCATGTGTGCTTTCTGGAGAGACAGAAAGCAAGAAATCACACACACACCCAGGGGGGATGGCCATGCCACAATCCTTTTTCCTCCATGCTCCTCTCGGGATTTCGGGCACACGCAAACATGCACCTGGCATGAATTTTAAGCTGCCAGGTCCAGAACTGGAACTGCGGTCAACTACATGGGAGTTCAGCAGCATAATATCGTCTGCTGGTCCCACACTCAACCTTTTCAAGGCAGCTTTCAAGGAAAACAATGTTTTAGTATTGGTTCACTGGCTGTTTTCCAAGCCCTAGCAATTGATAATCCTGTTCAATCATTTAGTGTTTTGTTTGACTTTTAAGATAGTCAAACCACAGTGTTTTGGAAGGTAATTGTGGTCATCCCAGTAAGTCCAAGACTCATAATCAAACCAAAGTGTCATTAGGAAGGTTGGAAGGATGGACAGGAACCACAGTTCTATTGATCTGTGATCAAAAATTAGAGGCCATTACTGGTCAATTCCTCTTACAGAATGTTTCATGTTGCTTTCTACTCTACTGAAATACATGGATCTCCTCAGAGAAAAGAAAAATGACATTCCAGTGTGAATAAAAGGATGGCACATGGGGCCAGCAGGTGGTGTGGTGGATAAGGGTGCTGGATTCTCACATGGCCAACCATGGTTCAAATCCTGGACCTGGTGGCTTGCTTTCTCACTTTCCCTTTCTCTCTCCCTCTCTCTCATCAAATAAAGAAAAAAAAATAACAATAATAAATTGAAATAAATAAACAATTCTTTAAAAAAAAAAACAAACGGATGGCACAGATAGGCTTTTCAATGGCTAGATACTTCTTGGCTTTATGTTAACAGCCAGGGCATAAGTAAGGGCCAAATGGGAAAAAATATGTAGCTCTGCTACAAACTATATATAAACATATAGTGAGTGATATATGGGTATAGATTAATCTCTGGCCATGGATATCTTTGTTCAGGGTCCAATATAAAGTATAAGGTGTAAAGGACAGACTATCAGAAGGTCCTCTCGAATGAAGAGAGCAAAGGTTGATGGTGAAGTTTAAAAGATGGTTCTAGAAAACAAGTTGAGAGACATCATCATTTGTCCCTCTATCTTACCCTTTTTCTCCTTGTTAATATCTCCTTAATCAAGACACTGTGCTAAAACCTCGAAGCTAACAAAGAAAGTGTGAACAAATGTGTTTTTGTTTCCTTGCC